GGGGGCGGGGTACTGAGCACACTGGGCAAAGGGGAGGAACGGCAGGCCCTGGTGGCTCCCTCTGGGAACTGCCAAAGTGCATACTCTGCAGGGAACAGTGGAGGCCCCACCAAGCACTGGCCCACATCTGTGGTTGCTATGACCTTGGCTAAGTCACATCCCGCTCCTCCCAGCCTCGGTTTCTGTAGGGTCCAGCCCTACAGGGTCCTGTGAGCCCCTCTCTGCTAGTGTGGAGATGAGAAACTGTGGAAATGAAAGACACAAGACACTGAGAAAGAGAAAGCAGAGTCTGGGCCCAGGGGTCCACTGCCAACCAAAGCGCAGAGTCCTGCAGTCACGCCGAGTGCCTGGACGCTCTGACTTTTATTGAGTACAAAGCAGGGGGAAGGGTAGGTAGGATCAGGTAATGGTGGTCAGTGATAGGGTCAGGTAAACCACGTGCCATGGAAACAGGGGCCCAAGACTTTGAAGAAGCCGAGGCGAAGAGAAAACCTAAGGCATCAGCACTTTTTTCATACTTGTCAAGAAATAACTTATAATAATTTATGTTACTGTTACTAATTCTTATCTTTTAAGGAAAAGAGGAACCAGGTGCAGAAGCAGAACTTGAAAGTAGACATGGAACGTGACTGCTGAAGCACAGCACCACATAGAGACCATTAAGTCCCCAGATGTCCATGGGTCTCCCTGAGAGCCATCAGGCTTACCACAAGAGCTTGGGAGAGCGGAGTTTTCTCCTCACTCCCCAGAGGAAGGAGACGTCTCGGCCATCTTGGAGTCTCCTTCCCTAGCCAGCGAGACAGTGGGTGCTTTCACAACACTGACACTGTGGCACAGCCAAGGCGTCCTCCAGCAGCCCTTATGTGGGGGTGACAGAGGACTTAGAGCATCTTGCCTGAGGGTCACCTCTTTTCCAGTACCACTTCAGTCCCATGAGTCTTGACCTGAGACTTAGTAAGATTAAAGATTATGTGATTATATATATGTATATAGTTATGATTACATATGAATAGCTATGTGATTATGATTAGATATACATATAGGAATGACTATATAACTACATCTCTAATTCATTTCTAATTCTGTGTGCGTATGAGAACATGCTGAGGCTTCAGACCCTTGCCTCGGCTCTTGCTGGGGTTTCCCCCCACAGGTTTCCGTAGCTGTGGGATCTTCCAGCTGTGAGATCCTTGGACCTGGGGCAAGGCCCAGATACTCCTACCTTAACACTGCCTCTTGTAAACAGAGTGAGGGGTTCCTGGGGCCTCCGATGGTGAGGCAGGTAAAAAAGGAAACTGTCTATTGTCTCTGGGGACAATGGGGGACTCCAGGGGCTTTTGGGAAGGGAGGCGGAGGAGGGGCAGCGGCTGGCTGGCTCCAAGGAATGGATCTGGTCTTAGTTTACTGTCTAACCTCCGACCCTTCCTGGGTTTAACTCTCCTCTCCACCACCTTCTCCTCCTCGTCTCCGTTAACTCCACTCCACCTCCCTTGGCCTGGCTGAGACATTTTCTCCAAGGCAGGAAAACTAAATCTGCTGTGGATTTCCTTAGCATTCCTGAAAAAATAACCCTCCTGGTCAGGAACAAAGCTGCCAGGGAGCAGTTTCTCCCAGTTCCCAGTTTAGCCTTGTGTCATGGATCCTTCCTGTGCTTCCCTGACCTCTGCCTCCTGTGCTCTGCAGGCAACTTTGAGGAAACTGACCAAATCTCCTGTTTCCTCAAGGTCAATTTTAAAAAACAGAGTGTCTGAATACCAACCTGTGAAGATGAGGACTATGGATTGGCACTAAGTGGCCCCTGGGGTCTGCCTTCCTGGTCCACTCCCCATATCCCCAGGGCCATCCAGAAACATTCTGGATGATGCCCATACGCAAGCAACAGTTAATAGGGCCAGTCCTGACAGCATACATTGCATGCCGACTGTATGCCAGGCCCGTGCAAGGCTCTGCAACAGTGGTGAAGAGGACAGACACACCAAGAGCCATTAGAGTGATGGACAGCAGTTGGAGAAAGCAGGAATGGTAGCAAGAGTTGCACTAGAGCTAGTGGGTTCTTGCCAGACCCACGAGCACCGAGAGTCCTGCTCTTTCCACCGCTTTCGGCATGTCTTCACCCAGACGCTCAGAGCATGCGTGACAGGCCGCTGCCTCCACGTGACTTGCATTAAAAATACATGTCTGGGGCCCAGCTTGTGAAGTTGGCTGGAGGTGCTTCTGAGTTGGTCACTCTGGAACCACATGCTGGCTCTGGGACCCTCTCTCAGGGCCGCCATGGATGCCAGAGCAGGCTGTACACTGCACCACTGGGGGTGGAGTGGCACCTTCTGGTGCTGTGCTGTGCGGTGGCCCTCCTCCCTAACGTGGGAATTATTTTTTATTTCTTCTTATTATTAATTTTTTTGTGGTTTTAAAAATGTTTATTTTATGTACAAAGAACTTTCATGGCTTTTCATGGTAGATGCCTTGGAGAATCCTTTGAAAGAAGATCATTTAGGTCCAACTTAATGAAAGCAACGTCCTTTGTGTACTGACGGAAACACTGGCGGCACATATTGAGCCCGTATTTCCGGATCAGACCATGCCAGTTTGAACAGACGTGACGAGAGTGAGAACCTTGACCGAATTTTTGCAGGTGGCTCCAGTACAGCTGCTGGTGACCCATCTTGCTCTCAGGAATGCAAAGAGGTAAAAAGCTATTATTATTATTTTCTGAGACAGAGTCTCACTCTGTCACCCAGGCTGGAGCGCAGTGGCACTATCTGAGCTCATGCAACCTCCACCTCCTGGGTTCAAGCAATTCTCCTGCCTCAGCCTCCTGAGTAACTGGGATTACAGGTGCACGCCCCCACGCCCGGCTAATTTTTGTATCTTTAGTAGGGACAGGGTTTCACCGTGTTGGCCAAGCTGGTCTTGAAATCCTGACTCAGGTGATCTGCCTGCCTCAGCCTCCCAAAGTGCTGGGATTACAGGTGTGAGCCACCGTGCCTGGCCGAAAGTGGGAATTATAACAATACCTGCAGCTGACCATATAAAGAGATGAGGAGAAGGTGAGGCTCAGAGTTTGGCTCCTAGGCAGGTGTCTCCTAAATACTAGTTTCCTTCCTCTGGCTCCTATGTCAGAGACCAGCAGAGAACTGGCTGCTCCTTGGAGACTGGATGTAAGGCACCCTGCTGCTCATGGGCAGTGCTTAGATCAGAGGTCGGGGCTCTGTAAATGCCTGAAGAATTGAGAGGGAGGCTGGTGGAGGGTGTGGCCCCTCACTCTGTCCTGTTTCAGCAGCCTGTTATCCTGTCTGGGAAATCAGCACTGGAATGGAGCCCTTCCTGTGTGTGGGAGGTTGAGAACAATGCTGACCCCTAAACAAGGAGTTCTGACAAGGAGCCAGGGAGGCCTCATCAAGGGCAGGCAGTGTCAAGAAGTGATGTTGCCAAGGAGCAGGTGGGGAGACCTTCGGACCAGGAACCAGAGCCAGCCAGGTATAGGCAGTGTGGGCGGGGAAGGGGCCAAATTCTAGCCCAGAAGCTGGGAGCTCAGCCCTGTCATTATCACAGTGCTTTTTCCCCTGGGGCGACAGACTAGAAACCATCTCCCTGAGTGAGGAGCTGGGGCCTGAATGTCACCACTGAAAGAAGAGATGATGTACTTTGGAGAGATGGTCCCTTATCCATGACCATCATTCCTCTGCCCACCAATTCCAGGCAATGGTAGACCCATGCACAGTGGACCAGGCAGTGGGACACACACTAGACATGCCTGTAAGACATGAGCAAAATGGGCCAGGGAGTTGGAGGTTGCCTGAAAGAGTGACCGGAGAGGACAGGTGGGGCCTCCTCAATACACAAGAGCAGTTGTTCTGGCCAGGGAGGAGGAGGTGGCCCAGGAGAGGAGCTTGTATAGAATGCTGCCATTGTCCCCACTGAGACAGCTGTTGCCCCCCTGACTGAGCTGACGGGACCCTAAGGGTGGGAGGTGGGGGCCCTACCCTCTCTGGCAATGCCTCACAGGGAATGGTCGACTGTTGGGGCAGGAGACAGCTGTTCCCTGGATAGTGAGAGGGATGAGGGTGGAGAGAGGGGCTGAGGAGGAGGTAGGGAAGGACATGCCTAGCATAGCTGATGTAGGGAGGGAGAGCAGCAAAAACCACAAAGCCCCAGGGAAAAAAATCTAATAAAGACTGGGCGAGACTCCAGTGGAGAAAACAATTTTTTTACAGAGAAACCAAAAAGGAAGACTTAAATATTCGAATATTTGAATGAATGAGACAAGGTGATGGTCAGTAAAGTATCATGATATTTTATTTTATCTTTTAGAGGTAGGTTCCCCCTCTGTCTCACAGGCCTGGAGTTCAGTGGCACAGTCATAGCTCACTGCAGCCTTGACCTCCTAAGTTCAAGCAATCCTCCTACCTCAATCTCCTGAGTAGCTGGGACTACAGGAACAGGCTACTGTGAGTCACTCTGCCTGGCTATAATTGTTATAAAGGTGTTAGTTCTGACCAGGAACAGTGACTCATGCCTGTAATCTCAGTGCTTTAGGAGGCCGAGATGGTTGGATTGTTTGAGCCCAGGAGTTCGAGACCAGCCTGGGCAGCAAGGCAAAACCTAGTCTCTAACAAAAAATACAAAAATTAGCCAGGCATGATGGGACATGCCTTTAGTCCCAGCTACTTAGGAGGCTAAGGTGACAGGATGCCTTGAGCCCAGGAGGTCGAGGCTGCAGTGAGCCGTGATCATGCCACTACACTCCAGCCTGGACAACAGAGACCTTGTCTCGGGAAAAAAAAAAGGTAGCTCTCCCTCAAGTTAGTGTAGAAATTCAGTGCAACTCTGACCAAGAATCCACCAATCTGCGTTTTTCGTCTTTCTTTCTAGAAGCTGATGGTAAATTTTACATGGGACAAAAAGATCAAGAATAATTACGTTAATGCCGAAGAAGGAAAAAAAAAAAAGCGGGTCAGGCATGGTGGCTCATACCTGTAATCGCAGCACTTTGGGAGGCTGAGGCAGGCAGTTCATTTGAGCCGAGGAGTTCGAGGTCAGCTTGGGCAATATGGTGAAGCTCTGTCTCTACTAAAAATACAAAAGAAAATTAGGGGGGCATGGTGGCGCACACGTGTAGTCCCAGCTACTTAGGCGGCTGAAGTGGGAGGATCACCTGAGCCTGGGAAGTTGAGGCTGGCGTGAACCATGACAGCACCACCGCACTCCAGCCTGGGCAACAGGAGTGAGACTCTGTCTCATAAATAAATAAATAAATAAATAAATAAATAAAGATAACAAAAATAAGAGGGCAGTAGCTCTATAGATACCAATCTGGTTATATGGGAATGAAAATAGTGTGGCAAAATGCAAGAACAGACACAGTGACTAAGGAACAGAATGGAGATTGGAAACAAATCCAAGAACACATAGGGCAGAGGGGGAATTGCTGGTCAGTGGAGACGGGACGTACATGGTCAGAAATAGGACTGGAACAGTTGGACATTCCCAAAGGGAAAAATAAGATTTGATCCTCTGGCACATAAATTACAAAAATAAATTCTGGGCAGGGCCCGGTTGCTTACGCCTATACTTCCAGCAGGTCTGGAGTCCGAGGAGTGTGGATCGCTTGAGGTCAGGAGTTTGAGACCAGCCTGGCCAACATGGTGAAACCCCGTCTCTCCTAAAAATACAAAAATTAGTTCAGCCTGGTAGCACACGCCTGTAATACAGCCTGGGCGACACGGTGAAACTGTCCAAAAAAAAAAAAAAAAAAAAAAAAAAAAAAACTGCCAGGCTCAGTAGCTCATGCCTGTAATCCCAGCACTTTGGGAGGCCAAGGCAGGCAGATCACTGACTAACATGGTGAAACCTCATCTCTACTAAAAATACAAAAAATTAGCCGGCGTGGTGGCGTGAGCCTGTAGTCCCAGCTACTCGGGAGGCTGAGGCAGGAGAATCGCTTGAAACCAGGAGGCAGAGGTTGCAGTGAACTGAGATTGTGTCATTGCACTCCAGCCTGGGTGACAGAGTGACACTCCATCTCAAAAAAAAAAACAAAAACAAATTCTAGTGGCATAGAGATCTGAATGTGAAGAGTCAAACTATAAAATATAGGCACTGGTAATCCCAGCTTCTGGGGAGGCTGAGGTGGCAGAATCACTTGAACCCGGGAGGCAGAAGTTGCAGTGAGCTGAGATCGAGCCACTGCACTCCAGCTTGGGCAACAGAGCAAGACTCTGTCTCAAAAACATTAATTAATTAATTAATTAATTAAAATATACGTACGGATCTTTCGGAATTTGGGATCATAGAGGATTATGTGTTGTACAGATTTTTACAAACTTTTTGTTATGGTATAATAAACTCATATGCGTGAGGCACCTAGCTTCCACAGTAAATTGAAATCTTTTGATTAACAAAAGATACTACAAGTCCGGTGTGGTGGCTCATGCCTGTAATCCCAGCACTTTGGGAGGCCAAGTTGGGCAGAAGCCAGTTCAAGACCAGCCTGGCCAACATGGTGAAACCCATCTCTACTAAAAATACAAAAATTAGCTGGGCATGGTGGCTCACACCTGCAATCCTAGCTACTCAGGAGGCTGAGGCAGGAGAATCACTTGAACCTGGGAGGCAGAAGTTGCAACCAGCCGAGATTGAGCCACTGCACTCCAGCCTGGGTGACAGAGCAAGACTCTGTCTCAAAAAAAAGATACTACAAAGTGGAAAGACAATCCCCCACAGGCTGGGATAAGAAATTTGCAGTCCATACAATTTTAAAAGATTTAGTATCAATTACAAGTAGCATACTTCTACAATCAACGGGGCCAGGAGTGGTGGTTCACGTCTGTAATCCCAGTATTTTGGAAGGCTGACACAGGAGGATCACTTGATCTCAGGAGTTCAGGGCCAACCTGGGTGACATAGTGAGACTCTGTCTCTTTCTCTTTTTTTTTTTTGAGACGAAGTCTCGCTCTGTAGTCCAGGCTAGAGTACAGTGGTGGGATCTCGGCTCACTGCAACCTCAACCTCCTGGGTTCAAGCGATCCTCCTGCCTCAACCTCTCGAGTAGCTGGAATTACAGGCATGCCCACTGCACCCAGATAATTTTTTGTATTTTTTAGTAGAGATGGGGTTTCACCATGTTGACCAGGCTTGTCTTGAACTCCCGACCTCAGGTAATCCACCTGCCTCGGCCTCCCAAAGAACTAGGATTACAGATGTGAGTCACCAGCCTGGCCCCTTTCTCTATTAAAACATAATATTGGCTGGGCGCAGTGACTCATGCTTGTAATCCCAGCACTTTAGGAGGCTGAGGTGGGCGGATCATGAGGTCAGGATCTCAAGACCAGCCTGGCCAACATAGTGAAACCCCATCTCTACTAAAAATACAAAAATTAGCCAGGTGTGGTGGTATTTGCCTGGAGTCCCAGCTACTTGGGAGGCTGAGATGGGAGAATTGCTTGAACCTGGGTATCGGGGTGGTAGTGAGCCGAGACCATGCCATTATACTCCAGCCTGGGTGACAGAGTGATCTGCCTGCCTCGGCCTCCCAAAGTGCTGGGAGAAAAAAGAAAATGGCAGAAAAAGAAAAAGAAACAAAGGATCAGAGGTGGCCATTTCCTGAAACATGAGTGAGTAATCCATAAATGTGAAAAGCTAGTTATCCCTGCCAGCAAATGA